AAAAAAAAAAAGGCAGCAGCAAACAGTATGTCAGCAAAACATTAAGTAGTACCTATTAAAGTCAAAAACAAAAGAATAATGCGTACCCTTCCAACTATTGAATACTCTGCTTGAATACTCTTAGAGGTCTTAGCTGGTCAACAAAAAAAGGAAAAGAAATTCGAAGGTTGAAATTTTGAAAAGAAGAGAAAATTTCTATTATTTGCTGACTGTTTAATTAAAAATCCTAGGGAATTAACCTAAAAAGAGTAGAACTAATAAAAGAATTTGATAAGGTATCCTGAAATAAAATCAATATACAACATTTTTGCCTAATAAAAAGTGTAGAAAGATAGTCTATTCACAATTGCAATTTAAAACTCTAAATGGTTAAGTAGAACCTAACATAAGGTAGGTAACACTCAAGTGGCAAGAACTGAAAAATTCCGCTGAATATGTGTGCTGCAAGGAGTTGACAAACATTTTCTATAAAAGGTAACAAATTAAATATTTTATATTATATGGGCCAAATGCCCCCTGCCACAATTATTAAATTATGCCATTGTAGTACCTAGACAACATACAATTAAATAGACATGGTTATGCTCCAAAAAATTTTTACAAAAGCAGGTATCAAGCCAGTGTTGGCCCACAGGTAATAGTTGCAACGTACATCATAGAGATCAACTGGATAAATCTCAAAAACATAATATTGAGCAAAGGAAACCAAATATAAACAAGTGTATATTTTTCATGCAGATAAAGCTATAAATCAGAAAAAGATAAACTATGATAAGAGAAGAATCATGGTTATCTTTGGTTAGAAGTAATTATTCGAAGAGACCTCAAGGAAGGCCTCTGTGGTAGCAAATGTCTTACTTCTTAATCTTGGTGCTAATTACAAATGTTTCTAAAAACATTTAGAAACATTTGTAAAAAGAATGTTTAATTTTTTAAAAAATTTAAAAAAAAAATTTTTTCCCAGTTAATGTGAGGGTACAACCAGGTCAAAATATTTGATTTTGTTAGGCAGAGTCCCTCTTATGCTTACACACTCAAAAGGTGTGCTAAACACCCCCACCCTGTGCCCATATTGAAATGAATTTCTGTCCTTTGTGAGCATGTGTTAATGGCCTGCTGGCTTCATATTAGTATTGAGTACATCGGATATTTGCTTTTCCACTCTTGGCATACTTTACTAAGAAGAATGTGTTTCAACTCCGTCCAAGATGTGAAGTCGCTAAAGATGTTTACACTTTGTGAATAATCTTTGAGGGAACGTTTATGATTTGTACACTTTTTTCACTCCAATAAAAAGGTTTACTTTTAAAAATTAAATCTATGTTTTTATAGTTTCATGTCTTAAATTTAAGTCTTTAATCCAGTGAGAATCTATCTTAGTTAGTGGTGACAGGTGTGGGTC